TCTCCCCGAGCAGATATGTGGAGCCACTGCAATGAACCGCATCGCATTGGCGGAGACAAATATAGCAGCTACGCTCACCGCACAAATCACAGTCGGCATATGCATCAAGTACTTCTTTGGTGGTTGGCCTTCTGTGGCAGATGTGACACGGTCGTAAACATGAAGCAGGTGCACAAGTATTATGCTGCGAGTGAGGACTCGGAACAAGGGTTCTAGGAGAAACAGGAGGGGACGAGACATTAGAGGATCCGGAGGTACAGATATTTGGTGATAACATATTCACCTGCGCTATGCTCGACTCTGGCGGCTGCGTGAGACTATTCGACCAGGGCTCTGTACTTTGTGGGTGGATATACGGCTGTTGAAGAGCTCGTCGTTTTCGAGGAATGCATCGCTGGCGAGCAGAGAGCTCTACGTTATCACCGGACAGGTTGGGACAGTTTAAACAAAACGGGGAGTTTGATGCATGAGATATTGTTGGAATAAACTTGGTGCTGTAAGATACATCCTTCAGATTAGTTAAATTTCCCAGTCTATCGGCTCAAGTCAAACCCTCGTCGTCGTTTTGTTTCCCTTTTTTAGCTTCTTTAGCCGTGCCCCAGGTGCAATTGTCCTACTTACGTATTGGGTATATGGACAGCGTCTGACACGGTTGGATCCCTCTTTCGCTTCTTCATTTGCGGATTTAGAATAGACATGTTGTCTTGCTCAGTCATGATACCGCGCATGGTGGAATGGGGAGCTGTTGTCGAGAAGTATATGTCCATCGGAGAAAATACCTAGGTAAAAAGCTAGAGAGCTGCAAAAGGGGAAATGAGAAAAGCTTTCCTGTGCGAACGGAGAGAAACTAGATTAATGGAATGAAATAAATTTGTTGCCTTTTCAAGTCGACGTACGTGGTGCGCTAGCCAGCCGTAGGTGATGGATGTAGCGAAACGACTCGAGAAGAGGTGAAGATAATCTAAAACAGACCTCCGGGTTTAAGCTTGGCGTCAGGTACGGGTAAAAAGATCCGCTGTGTTTCAGCTCTAATTCGGCAGTTGTATGTATAGTACTAAGAAGGTAGAGTAGCGGTTTATTACGTAGATAAACTAAATACAAAGTACTGAGTAGATAACAATTTTACATGGTACATATGTACATGTATCTACTAGTACATAGTACATAGTACATACCTTAACCAGTTGTGTAACGTCTGTTACAGCACCTCCTGTAGTAAGGGACGTAAGAAGTTCGGGTAAAGAGAATACAGGAAAAGCCCAGTAGTTAGATGTGCTGCTGCCTTTCTTGAAGTGTAAGGGTGAAAGCCCCCATCGAAACTAGTACGTGGCAGTGTTGAATCATCCAGTGACTGGTTATTTACCTGCTTTCACGCCGTTAGCCTTTCTATTCATACAGTTTAACAAGTAATCCTTTAGTACATACTCCATAGTCATAGTACTCAGACTATGTACCACCATACATCCATTTTAAGTACGCCCATGTGGGTCCTGTTATGTTCTAGATGGAGTACGTACCTCTTAAGTTAGTCTAGTTACCACTCCTTACCAGTCATCTTACCTTGTTCTTGGCTCGATCAACGAATCCCTGAGTTGGGAGCCTCTCCTCTTATCTTGAATTTCACCCCAAGGAGTGTGTATACCGTTGATATGTCTGTCGCCTTCCACGATCAACGTCATTACCCATCCTAAGAAATAACCCCCGTGACGCAGAAGCGGTTTTCCGACTCGCCTTGTCTGTACAATCTAGTGACACTGGTGGGATCATCGACTAGGGAGAGCTGTGGCATCATCGCGATGGAGAACAATATTTCCGAATTAGTTGAGAGGCTAGGGAGTGACGAAGATGCGGTACGAAAAATGGCAGTCTTCAAACTTCAGAGTAGCATTGGCGACCCATCGTTTGCCGATATCTTTATTGCAGAAGGAGGCCTAACTCGACTACGCTATCTGAGTTTACATGCCAGTGGAAACACGCTGGCCTATAGCCTCACGAGCTTTGCCAGGCTATTAGAAGTGGACAAAGGATGGGAGTTCGTCGATCAAGAAGTAGTTGAAAGAGTATGTCGTGGGATTGGCGCGCATTAATCAAGGCTCTGTATCAGTCAATACTCATGCTGATAAATGACCCTACCCCTTTTAGATTGTCGAACTTATAGTGACCCATCCTTTGGTCAACATTCTACGTGGCGCAATGTCTATCCTGGTTTCCATTGTATCGCACCCTCATACAGGTGGTCGCTTGTCGCAGAATGGGACTTTCGGCTTTCGTGCTTTGAAACCGGCCATCGCTCTCTATCCGCAGTTTTTGGAAATGCTTGTTAGCAGGCTCTCATCAGCTGACCATGCGCTTTGCGCCAATGCGCTTCAACTTATAAATTCGCTTATGCGCGACTCAATCACGAACGACTCCGAGTTGGAATGGCCCAAGTTCATCCAAAAACTACAGGACCTGGGTGTGATTCGAGCAGTTTATGCCCTCATGCAAGGTAGTGCATTACAGGATCATGCGCATCCTCTGATCGAATTCCAATCTTTAACTAAAGTTCTTCTAAGGAAATGGAGAGATATCGCGCTAGATTTGGAAAAGCCAGAACACAGACGAGCACTTAAAGGGATACACTTGGCCAGTAATTGCGAACGGGAACTTGAAAAGGGAGCCGAGAGTGGTAACGAGGCTCGACGTTCAAAGAGGCACAACCCAGAAAAATGGCGCCGACTGGGGTTCGAGTCGGAGAACCCTACCGTGCAATTCGAAACCATGGGTTTTCTAGGGATGATGGACCTGGCGGATTACATCAGAAATTACCAAGATGAATTCCAAAAATTACTCCTAGAGCAGTCGACGAAACCGGCGCAGAAGCGGTGCCCCATAGCGCGTGCTTCTTTGTCTGTCACACAGATCCTCTACGAGCATTTTGAAGTTGATAAGTCAGAGATGGAGGATGCGAAAAGTTACCTGATATTGGAGTCTCGCGTTAATTTTGACAAAATATTCAAACCTTTACTGTTACATTGGACCCGCCTACATGTCGCGGGCGTACATGCCTTTTTCCGATTATGGAAGGTCACTGGCGCGGAAGTGGAAGATTATGAGAAAATCGTGGAACTTGTTCGTATCCTTGTCGAATCAGTTGTTGGGGGAGCACCACGAACAAAAGATGTACAAGATGTGGAGGACGACCTAGCAGAATTCGAATATTCCCGGCTCCGCGAGCTACAGATGGAACTCTTAGAGCTTACTTATGAAGATGTTTGGGGGCAACATCTACGGCAAGTGCGCGAAGAGCTACACCATGAAGCCCTACAGTTTGTCAAGGAACAGAGAATCAGATGTCTATTGAAAGGTGCTTGGTTCCCTAACGACGGCAGTTCCAAGGCGGACATGATGGCTTCGGGGGATCCCAGCTGGAAATTTGTCCAGCTCTCACATAACCGAAGGATTTTGCATTTTGGACATTTCGATGGCGTGAAAACAATATGCCCAGAGCTCGACGCACTTCCAGAGAAGCGTAAGAATACTCTCTTGCCTTCAGCTCCCCCACGTCATTGCTGTGCTAATCATCTGTTACTCTATCAGTTGATCTCTCAATTGTATCTTCGGTAGTTTCCAATGTTTCAGCGACCTCCGACGGCTCCTCGTCATCGACAGTCAAGAGTGTGTCGCATCACGTCTCTGCTACCAAGATCACTATTCATGGCCATGCTCAATCTAGTTCGTTCACAGATGACTCAGGAAAGATCGAAGGTCATACACGCTCAACCAGCAAAGCAACTCATAGGGAAGCAGCTCTATTGACTCTGCGGCCACAATCGCCAAGTATCGCATCCGAGTGGCTTGACGGCTTGCTTATGCTTCTAAACCAACAGCCTATCACAGCAGAGACAAGCAAATTGGTCAATTTAGTCAGCGACTATGGGCTCAAGATCCGGTTATTGAATGTTAGGTTCGATGATGGAGTATTCGCGGGCCAACCTCCAAATGTTCCATCACGGGAAGACCTGGATGATGACTATTATTATGATGTTTTTGGGGGGGCTTAGGATACTTCTCGCATTTTTCTTCTTTTTTGTTTTGTTTTCTCATCATTCTTACCCATGGAACTATAACAGCGAGTCACTTCAACAACAGTTGAACGCTTATCTATGTGCTGTTATCAAACAGCTTGACACTGATTGATATATACCCTGTCTGTTTTCTTCCCCATCTTCATCACACACTCTCTCCTTTCTTTCCTTCCTTTTCTACCACCTAAATTAGATCATTTAAATGCCTAATCCTGAATTGTTATCTCACCTAGTATTTAGTCACGTAGCTGTATTCACTGTACCTTGGCCCCAGTAAGCTCCTACTTGGATGCTGCTGCTACTACAACGTGGATGACATAAGGTTATGTACATGCATACATCAATATTTACATTCTTGGCTTGATGAGACAAGGTACCGTACCGTACGTGACCTGATTTATAATACCGTTACCTGAAACATGGGGAAACCAGGCATCGTTTTGTCTAATCCTTCAACCTTACGAATAGATTGAAGGGCTTGCTCTTTGCTTTCATTGAAGGGACAAGCATACTAGGTTTAGTTGATGTCTTTTCAAAGAGTTCTCTTACAATGATTTCTGTATATGTTCATCTCTCCCAATGATGGCTGATCGCCCCAGCAAACGTCAGCGAAGATTGCCCATTCATCCGTCAGCTCAAGACGCTAGACTTGGGACGGAGAATAAACACAGACCTTATATATCTTCCAGAAGGGCCAAAGCTGATATTATAACCCATTCAACTAACTTTTCACAACTCGAAACGAGACATATCCCGTCGGGCCCAAATCGAACTTACTCCAGTCTCCGAGGCCACCGTTCCTCTCCGCCCTCCGACAAGGGGACGCGCACGACACCAGCATCGTCTCTCCAAAAATTCTTTGGACCTGCAATTAGCGAACAAAGATGGTCTCCCGAAAAATTCGAGGCGACGTATCTTTCTGCGAAGGAAGCAATGGAAGAGGTGAATGGTAGCGAGGACGACAACAACATCAACGACGATATAATAGATGATGATTATGATTCCTATGATGAATTATTTACACAACATCTCGCGAACGAAGAGGTAGTGCGAAATACGACCAAAGTCCAAACACCCTGGCGGGTGCAATCACCCAAAGGAAGCACAAGTGTTGCGCGTAAATCTACCAACACAGGCAAACGCTTCGTCCTACCAATGGTCTCTGATCATAAAAGTAACGACTCCTCATCAACCCCTCCTCAGGCCCATAGGCTGCCTTGGGCGCAGCAGTATTCCCCTATGAATCTAGATGAGTTGGCGGTCCATAAAAGAAAGGTCTCAGATGTGCAAAGCTGGCTTCGCAACGCCTTTACAGGATCTAGGGAACACGTAAGTTTTCACATTCTGCCATTTATGTATTTCCGATCCAAAGTTGTTTTTGCGCCCATGTTGGAGTTTATGTCTTGACGATAACAGAAACTACTTGTCCTCCGAGGTCCTGCGGGGAGCGGGAAAACAACTACAATAAACATATTGTCCCAGACGCTAGGGTTTGATATACTCGAGTGGAGGAACCCTCCAGTCTCAGAGTTCGCTACAAAAGCATATGTATCCGTTGCTGCTCAATTTGAAGAATTCCTAGGCCGCGGTGATCAGTTTAGAAAGCTTGATTTAGACGAGCTCACTGACTTTTCACAAGACTCTAATCGCTATGCTCACCAGAGGATCATTTTGATTGAAGAGTTCCCAACTCTCTTACATCGAGGCTCCTCTAGTTTGGCTGCATTCAGGCTATCTTTACAGCGATATCTTGCTATGGAAGCTACATTATCCTCTCACAGATTTAATAAGAGTGGGGTCAAGGCCCAAGCCAGCTCTCCTATTGTGATTATAGTGTCAGAAACCCATCTCACATCGGGGTTCTCGTCGGAAAGTTTAACAGTTCACCGGCTACTCGGGCCGGTACTTTTAAATCACCCCGGCACAACCATTGTTGATTTCAACAGTATCGCTCCAACTTTCATGTATAAAGCCATGAAATTGATTTTGGAAAAGGAAGCACGCGATTCCAGGCGCAATAAGGACCCAGGCCCTGCCATATTGCAAAGCATTGCTAGATCAGGGGATATTCGAAGTGCAATCGCCGCCCTAGAATTTCTCTGCCTTGATGTTGGGCGTTGGGGAATTCCTGCTACAAGGGCAAAGAAATCGTCTCGCAATAACGTTATCCTTACATCCGCGGAGAAGGAGACACTGAAGCTAGTAACCCAAAGGGAGGGTAGCCTAGGAATATTTCATGCTGTCGGGAAGGTTGTGTACAACAAGAGAGACGATCCGGGTGTCGCAACCGAAGGCCCTATACTACCATCGCCTCCAGAGCATATGCGACATCATGACAGGCCGAAAGTGTCCCAGGTCCCTGTTAATGAGCTCGTGGATGAGACAGGGACTGATATCCAAACTTTCATTAGTGCCCTGCATGAAAATTACGTACCATCTTGCGATGGTCCATCATTCGTGGATTGTGTAGATGCATGTATAGTCGCTCTATCAGACAGTGATATGTTATGTGTCGATCACAAAGGTCCGTATGGGAGTCATACAAATAGGAGCAGTGCCGGTGTTGATGTCATGCGGCAGGAAGACATAAGTTACCAAGTTGCGGCTCGTGGCTTACTGTTTTCTCTTCCTTACCCAGTGAAAAGACGTATAGCGACGTCAACTTATGAAAACCGACCGAGCGATACCCATAAATTGCTCTTTCCAAGCACGTTGCGGCTGATGCAGGAAGCAGAGGAGATTGGAGGCCTTACGAATGTCTGGGTGAAAAAGCTGCTGAATTCACTCCGCGGGACATCGTCAGGCCCAGATCCTGGCCTGTCCGCGTCGTTGTTTACAAGATGCAAGCCAGATCGTGTAGAAGATTACCGCAATGATCAAGCGGGAATTGTGACCATGGTACCCCGTCAAGATCTCGTGCTGTACCACCTACCATATCTTACAAAGATTCATCGTGGTGATGTCGAGATCGCCCAGCTTCGAAGGATTACTGGATTCCATGGAGCTGGGTGCCCACACAATTGCTTGGGAAATAACCCTAATGGAAAACGTCTAGGTATGGCTTCTGCCAGCCACGATACCTCTCAAACACTATACTCAACAGATCTCAAAAGAAACACTTTTGGGCCCCAGCTGCCACCTAGTTACGAGCAAGAGGACGAGCTGCTTATCTTGAGCGATGATGATATTGTCGACGATTGAGATCTTTTGTTACAGCAGCGGCCATGCAGGAGGTGATCCTGAGCTTTTAGTTTAATGCAGGCACCACGCCGAAGCTTTCGCTAGTATGTCTCATAATAGTTGGCTACGATAGAGGAGGCGAACCATCTAAGGACAAGCGCCGGATAAGATAAGGCTATAACACTACATATGTACCAGAAGCTTAGTGATTGTAGTTGAAATCGTCCGTGATTTAGTTTATTTACTAGTTGTGACTGACAAGGGTAAACGCATGACTAATCAATGTCAGATATGGCTAGTTAGTCAAGGAGGAACTAACTACTAGTAGTAGTTGGATAGTAATTTCCATCAGGCTGGTTGACTCAATCAATCAGCTGTGATCATCTGTTCCTTCAAACAGTGCTTCATGTGTTCTTTAGCCCAGTCAACTTCGCTATTGCGCTAAACCGACCCATCTATCTTCTTCTACAAGCCAAGGCTCGCCTTTCTATGACGTCCATACAGTCGTTCCCGTCAAGAAAAGATGTTCAAACCAAATGCCGGACCCTTGAAGAATCGAGGCGTGGACCGCTCAGCGGTAGTGAACGGTCGTTCGCGAGAGGTTGATGATCGTTTGACAGAGCGTGTTGAACCAAAGGAGCCACATGCGAGCCTAGGTAGCATAACCACTGCAGCGGTTTATACTGCCCTTCCCGGCTGGACAACTATAGCTTTGATGATCTCACTGATTTTCGGTGGTTGCTGTGCCAATGTAGGTGGGCAATAAATGATGAATTGCCTCTTTCTGACAATTGGAGTACAGGTCTTTGCCCTGGAAGCCATTATTAAGTAAGTCGCTTATGCAAATGAAGTACCAAGAAGTAATCACTGATATCGCGACAGGGAGCAGCCGAGCTCAGGTAATTGCTATCTCTCCCTTCGATTCCAAAAACGGTTGTTTTTCTTTAGTTTCTAATATTCGCACCGCAAGGACCCCTCATAACGTTTGCACAATTCATCTTGACCGCATTATTAACTTGTCCAAGCTTCCTGTCTCTGTCAGCGGGCCCTCGGTCACTGTTTCTCAATCAACGTGTGATCCCTCTGAGATCATGGCTGGTATATACAGCTTTCTTTGTGACCGTCAACCTTCTAAACAACTGGGCTTTTGCATACAAGATCTCTGTCCCATTACACATTATCTTAAGATCCGGGGGCCCCGTCGCTTCCATGATCGTTGGGTATGCATTCAATGCTAAGAAGTACTCACACGGACAAATCTTTGCGGTAGCTATGCTTACCATAGGCGTCATCGCTGCAGCGTTGGCTGATGCTCGTACGAAAGGTGAATCCGTAAGCGTCGGGTATCACCAAAACGATTCCACTATGGCTAGTACACTGATTGGGTTCAGTATCCTTGCCCTAGCAATGGTACTCTCGGCTTTCCAAGGGATTTACGCGGATCGACTCTATGAGTCTTATGGCAGAAACCATTGGAGGGAGGCTCTCTTCTATTCGCACGCTCTCTCTCTGCCCCTCTTCTTACCAACCTACACGCCCCTTTTGGCTCAATGGCGAGCGTTGTTGTCTTCGCCTTCGTTACTCTCTGGAGTTTCTGCTATTGCTGCAAGGAAAGGGTCCGTCCCAAATCATTCCCTACTACTCGGCACTGGCTTAGCTACTGCGTCAAGAACGGCTTTTGTGAAATCTATACCCATGCCAATCATCAACACCACCACTCACCTGCTGGCAGAGCTTGAGCGCTTCAAATCCTTTCAACTCATCTTGACTTGTATTCCAATACAGGTTTTCTATCTTCTAATGAATGCTCTTACACAATATCTGTGCATTCGTGGGGTTCATCTTCTTTCTGCGAAATCATCCTCACTGACAGTAACTATTGTGCTCAACGTTCGCAAGCTCATCTCACTGTTGCTATCCATCTACCTATTCGGAAATGATCTTGCGCCAGGTGTGCTTATGGGTGCTCTATTCGTGTTCGTGGGAGGTGCTTTGTATGGCTTTGAGGGCGCACGATTGAGGAAAACATATAAAACATCTAAGAAAGACTGACATAGTTCCATGGCTTCGATATGTCAGGGCTAAACTTTGCGCGTTTTTCTTTCGACGTTATAGACCTATGCGTCCTTCCTGATCCATTATTGTACTTCTGTTGATAAGATCTATGTCCGTGGCTGCGATTCGCCGTCAGTCTTTCTTTACAGCTAATTCTGTATACGCTTCGCGGACGTCAATTAGACTAGACCTCAAATGTACAGCCTTCATCATATATAAGAACAACCAAAATCGTTTGGCATTGATGCAGGTAAATTTGAGACCAGGATAGACTTTGACACAAAGTACAATCAATATTCAAGTGAGAATTCTAGCATGAAATACAAGATATACAGCTGCAGCTAGCGCCGCAGAAGGGGTTCGACGTATTGTCCTCTACTGCACAAAAAGTCATCGACGGATTACTGGCCACCCACCAAATGTAAATTTTGGACAGACTACAGGACCTCACCTACGATTTTTGCGGCCTCCTTGTAGGTTTCTAGAAGTCTTTCGCACTTCTCTCTCTCCGCCTTGATTCCATCATCCTCGTAAAGAAGCTCCCCAAAGAGATCTTCCTTGTAAAGTTCACTGACAAGCCTATTTTGCACAACATCTTTACTATGATTGACAAGAAGGTGCATAATAGCCTTGGGAACCTGGTCAGCAATAGTTTCCCTAACGATATCGAAGTAGGAGGATATCAAGCGGCGGATCAACTCCGTCTCCAAGAGCTCACGGTCAGAGAGAGTTGGTTCGGTATTTTCCTGTACATTGTATGAGCTTCTAGTATAACCAGAATAGAATTCGAACGAATTACGACTTACAAGAGAGTTAACATCGCCAATATATTCCGGAACAGGTACATAGTCATCGGGCGACATCACTGGAGAGCGCACTTCCGTCCGCCGAATACTTTGAGTGGTACTGATTTCATTGGTGTGGTTGGAAGGTCTGCTTTGACCCGAAGGTTGAGGAAGTGATGGAGATGGTTGAGCGCCATCCTTACCAAAGAAATAATTCAAGAAAGAATCACGTGTGGTGTTTGTGCCACCAAACATGGCATGTGGATTTTGATGTGCGCCGTTCAAAGTTGCCGCAATACCACTATCCTGGGGCTTGCCAATATTTGGGGACATGTTTCTTGTGCCTTTTGCAGAGTGACTCCTGATAGGGATGTTCTGAGCCTTTTGCTCTGGTGCTTGCTCCTCCTCATCCTCGGGAGAGAGACTTGTACTTCCGTTGATTCCTCCGAGTTCTCTCTGTCGTCGCTTCTCACGCTTCCTTCTATCCTCTGCTAATGCCGACTTCCTTTCTTGCTCCTGTTTGTTCTGAATGATGGAAGACATCGCGGCCGCCGCACCGAGGAAGTTCGGATGATTTGTATTAATATAGGCTCTTTGTATAGAAATCAAGGACTCCACATATGCTGAGCAAGGCCCCAAGCGCTCACGGAGGAGATCAGACACTACCTCGATAAGCTTTGCTTGTAGGCGTGGAAAGCGTAGGAGTTCTTGTGATCCGCAAGTATGGCAGATTTTTATGAGCTCCTCGTACACGAGCTCCACACATCTCTGGCTAGGAGCTTCCAACATCTTAATCTGAGGTTTCACGAGCAAATCGAAAGCGAGTTCCGGGACAAAAAGACTCGGACGAGGACCAGTTGAGTTTCGAATTGCTGTCCTGATATCTGACACTGTCAGGTTGTGTGTAGGGTCAATTGTTTCAAGAGAATTGCCGAAGACGGAGTTGAATATATAATAGATTCTGGCTCCACCGCAAAGCTCTTTGGTCGATATTTCAGATGAAGTTCCGTCAATGGAAGATATAAAAGAGGACGCAAAACGTGTCATTAGTTGCAGAATCAATGAACCACGATGTTCCTTGCCACTGAACTGTTTATTGCCATAACTAGCAAGCTCTTGTTGTGTTTGGCCCATAAGGGTATTTAAGCGGGCTTTGATATCAGGGAGTCGATCTCGAATGTGAGACATCAAAGTCGTATTCAGAGTTTTTGCCAAAAACTGTGTTCCACAACGATTCGCCATGTTACGGTAGGCAGGGTGATGCCGGAAGAAATCTACTTCTGCCTGTAAAGCATCGGATAAAGATTTCCCTGATTGAATGTCTTGTTGGGATCTGTTGACAACGCCAATGAACCCCAACTTCAGAGGATAGACACGTCCGGAAAGAATATCCATAGCATTCGTGCCGTGATCCATGAGATCCAACTTTGTCAGAACGCCGATTGTTCTGCGCCCCATAGGATCTACCTGGCGAGCAAGCTTCAGGGCTTCAGAGTTCACCAAGTCAACATTCGCCGGAGATACCGCCAGGACAAGACTGTTGGGCTTTGCTATATATTCCAAAATCAGCGCTCGAGTCTGCTTCTCTATGTCAGATGGTTGATCGCCAATGGGCACTTTGGTTAACCCTGGTAAGTCAACCATGGTGAGATTAAGAACATGAGGCGAAAATATCTTAAGATTGATAGGTTGCCTATTGATTCCCTTATTGCTTCCAGCTATCCTTGCGGTCTCGGCTTCAATTTCTTGTTTCACCAGGGCGAAATCCTCAAATTTCCGACCAGGGTGGTGGTGAAATTCCGCCCATTCATGCTGTCCAGCTACACTGGCGGCAGTGTGAGGCACGTGGACCTCATCGGTGTCAGGTTTGTCATGGCGTTCGCTGGGTATATTTATAAGCTGCAGTATTAAAGGGCGTCTCGTAACTATGCCGCTCCCTCTCGGCAAGAAATCTCTACCGACAATATTCTCAAGCACGGACGACTTCCCTGACGACTGAGAACCTACCACAACCTTCAAGACAACGTCAGTATTGACTATCAATCTAGATTGTAAGCCAAAGGGAACTTACAATTTGCGGCAAGTCAAGAGAATCGTTCCCAATCGTATTGAAAACAAGGTCTTGCAACTTGTTGACGGTTACAAGCAAGTCTTCGCTAAGTGACGCCATTTCTGTTTCTTTTTTTCCCTTCTGGTTGTGTCCTTGTTCGTCTGTCTCTCTTGACTCCTTGGCTCTTCCTCTTTCTATTATTCTTTAAGAGAGTTCAATTGAGTATTCCTTCCTGTTGTCCAATTGAGACAAGGTGTTTCATGGAAATGGCACACAGAGATTGTACGCCAAGTGCAGCTTTTAACTTGCCAACTAGCACTAACAAGCAGGAAGTCACAGTTATTAGTCTTAGCCGCAAGAGTCTGCTGCGAATTGCTCGCTCCAGAGTTATCGTGGGTGGCTGGTCCTAGGATACACCACAAAGTGGAGCTCGCCCTTTCCTTTCCTTTGCTCTTGCGGACAGGATATGGATGCAAGTTACACTTCTTGATCATGTGACACTCGGTGGATGGGCTTGGATGTAAACATGGTATTGTTTATCACGTGATTGGTAACATGTTGGTATCTGTACCGTAATATCGTGTCATCAACGTGAAAGATGGAGGAATTACAGTCATCGGTTGATTACTAAGTATTTCGTTTAGAAACACGCTTCTTGATTATCCAGGTCTTCCTCCCGTGAAATGACTATTTGGACATTGTTTGACGATACAATACAAGGCCATCCTCAACCAGTACCAATACTTGTCGCCTCCATGACTGTTCATATAACTAGATGGATAACTTAGAAATTAGTGCGAAAGGCTTAGATATAGAAGATTTAGATAATATAACTATTACTTAGAAGATTAATAATAGGTATTTTGTATTGTATACTCTTTTATATACTCTAATAACCTTAGCAATCACAAGATATATATTTTTCATCTCCGCGTGCTGCTCTCATGTATAGTTATAAGGAAGTGGATTTCCAACAGAACTCAGCGCTACTTAAGAGGGGTCCAGGGACAATGCTAAATGGACTACTCCGTACGTGTGTTTGATTTTCTTACTTACTCTGTACTCAGTATAAAATGGGGTTATATGAATTTACGATAGTAAGACCCCGCTAATCCCAAGTTTCGACATTGGTGATTAATATTTGTTTCAACTTTCTATATAGAAAAGAATTATATTGAAAAATGAACAAAGCACATTTGGACATGAAGATGATTACAAAATAAGAAGTAAAAAGCCATAGTCAAGACATACTCCGTATAATCCATAAGAATCTCCTTATATATTTTGTAGGCTGTCCACTTCAGTAGATACTCCTTTCTATTTAAACTCGGTTGCTAGCGAGCGCCGGAGTCACTTGGACGGGTAAATCCCTTTTAATGTACTCTGTATTGTTAAATAATACACACAGCATCTCTCTTCATATACTACTGGCGCAAATTTTACTTTTCAATACTCAAAAAACTCGTGAATTTAGAGAGATGAGACAGGTAAAGTGGTTTTCATTAAGAAGGCTGTGAATACCCTACTTTAACACTAATCTACTGGATTCCAGCGGAGCAGAAAGGACGGACAACCTAGCCGCCACACGTAATGGCTCTTAAAGCAAGGTCTAAATAATTAACAAACCTGCTGACCAACCCCCCCCACAAAGTCATCAATTAATCAAGTACTAGTATAGTGGGAGGTTCACATATTTTGGACTCCCACTGTAACGATGACAGCCAACCACTGATAAGATAGCCCTATCTATGTTGTCCAATTGGCAGAGTCGTGGGTTTTTTGGTAGAGTCAAGAAAAGTTTACTAGAATGACATCGTATTAAATTGCCCTTCTTAGTGCTGCTATAGTAAGTCTAAGACAGTTGCTACCATGACACAATAAACTAAAATCTTTCATGTGCCGTTGAAGGCCCGTGTCCTATCTACGAAGGCAGCACCAAGGGGAAATACTCTTTTTCCATCCCTTTTTCTTGCTGATATGAATGTGACAAACTATGTTCAGCCAAAAGGCCTAAGGGCTTGGCAAATCAAGTTGCCAGCTTTAGATAGGAAGCTGAACGCATTGGACTTCCATGTCATCGAAACCCTGTCTTTGTGGAAGGCACCACCTTGGGTCACTTTCGAAGCTGTACATAATTTGCTGGGAAGAGGCCTTCTTTATTGTGATGTTTACCAAACCACCAGTCATCGTCAGGGAATTCCTACGTGTCATCAGCAATTAGCCATGTTGGTTCTGAGTAACCCATACGTCGATATGAATGTGAGGAGGAGAGAAGCTGAAAGGGTGCGAGAAGGGAAAAACTTACGATATGAGTTATCTCAGCCCCCTCCGGAAAACTGAGCTCGTTGTCTTCCGCGGCTTCATAATCGTACAAAGCTGTAGCAGTGGGTCCATTGGCTGCGCTCGAGGCTAAAGGCGCCGCATGATGCTCTTGAATGTTGGTATCTGAATGGCGGTCATGCAAGTCTGGCGAGTCTGGCGAGGTAGAATTTTGTGGCTTGTCTTCCAGTAGCTCAACATAGTTACTCGGAAAGAGACCCCTCTCACCACGAGCATTTGAACCCAACCACCAGTCCTTATCAACCATTTCAATCTCCACCACAAGTTCACCTTCCCTGAGCTCAATTTCATTGTCTTCCGCTCTTTCATAATCGTACTGCACCACGGCTTGAATACCGTTGGTCTGGAAGTTACTCCCAACTGTAGCCTCTGCCGTTGCCCGGGCTACATCTTGCGTGTCATCTGCAAGGTCTGCATCTCTCGGCACTGTCTGACGAAGGCTTTCCGTGGGCAGAACAGAAGGTGGCGAATGTTGTTCATCATGAATATCTGTGACACCACGTCCAACAGGCATGGCAACACGGATAGGCGAGGCTTCCCGTACTGGAGGGGTTGGAGGAGTAGGGGACCGAGGCTGCTCAGGAGGGCTCGGAGCCACTTGGTGGGCTTCAGGCTCCTGCGTGGTTTCTGGTTGCACAGGTCCCGTTGGTAAACCGGGCAGAGGTACAGAACGTCCTGTATCCAACGGCTCATCGGGCCTAGCCTCGGGAGCCGAGTCATCAAGTGGCCTGTCCACAAATTGATCTCGAAGAGCACTGACACTTTGGGGAACTCGAGGCTCTGTTTCCGTGGCATCGTTTGCAGCTGGTTCCGTAGCCTGGTGAGACGTGTTGCTGCTGAGAGACTTTCCAGTGTGTGTAGTCTGAACAGGGGTCCACGTTCTACCGCTGTATGAGCTCTTCCACTCCGCTCTGCCGCTGTGCTGTGTTTGAAGCGAGGGCTCCTCGTACCCCGATGGTGGTACGTCAGATGCATTAACTTGTCCCCGTTCCCTTGCTTTTCTCTCTGCCCAAAGTTGTGCGGGAGTCTTTCCTCCCTCATCCGCAAAAGTTCTGCTTGCGCTACCGACGGGCACAGCTGCTGAAGTTGGTTTGGGCATGGATCCACTAGGCAGAGGAGGTTTGGTCCCAGTAAACGACTGGTTCGCTCCAAACTTATTCGCGACTTTTGGCTTCGGTAGACTTGTTAAACGCTCGGAGTGTCCTGTGATTGCGTGGTTTCCAGATTCCGCTTGCCCCTGGACGTTATTTGGTGTAGCAAATTTGCTATCATCCGGCATCAACTCGCTGGGTTTTTGCGCCCTGGCCCGAATAGCAGCAATATCGATTTTGCCAACTGGTTCGTACGCTCCCCTCACTGGCTCTGGCCGGTCATCCTTTAATTCGCCTGCCTCACGTGCCTGCCTCCTTATGGCAGCAATGTCCACTTTGCCCACTGGTTGATAGCCGCCCTTGACAACGTCGCTACGATCTTCGGTATTTTGAACCTGCATGTTTCCTACGTGTGGCTTTTCCGACCTAAGGGCTTGTATGTTAACCCTGGTTGGTTGGTAGGCCGGCTGCACCTTTTCAAGCTCTGTCCTGGTGACTGGAGGCGCATCTGGGCCCCAGCCATCATTGTCGGTATCTCTCTGGAGAGATACCTGAGAAGTAGCTGGCGTGGCATTCGAGCTGATACCACCAGTCCGCGATGGGGTGAAAACTGGCTTGGATGAGATTGGCGGCTTGGGAGCAGCAACGGCCGGCTGTCTAGCTCCTGCGGAATACTTAGCACCCGATGCATCCCCCACTTTCTGTATAATTCCTTCTGCAGTCAAGTCCCCATCTGCACGTGCAGTTATTTGAACATGGTAACCCTAGCAACCGTAAGGTCAGCAGCATAGTCTATAAAGGGACAAGTTCTCTAGGAGACGTGAGACAAAAGGCCACTAACATGTAGCAATTTTGAGACCGCAGATAGGTGACTAGTAAAATAACCCTTCGTCCGTTCAGGAACACCCTCCCCACACCATGCAATAAGCACACTCTTAGGAAGTCCAGTATTTGGGTCGGTGACCTTAACAAAGGCGAACTGTATCTTTCCCTCGGAAAATTCGTCGATCAGATCGGTAAGTTCACCATCTTAAACATATTCAGTCAGCCCCAGCGTTCCTTATTATCGAGCGTTTGACTGACCTCCGGTACTCTGGACCTTTAAAACACTCTCCTTGTTGCCTGTGTCTTGCTGAAAGGCACTAACAAGCGGTGCTGAAACTGAAAACACTGCCCATTGTCCATAGGTAGGCGAAGAAGAGCTTGTGGGTGGGGAGGAGTTGACAACAGCTTGATAGCTTTTTACTATTGAAGGCCCATTGGATGAAAGGTTAAGGGATGCCATTTTCAAAAAGATTCCACAGTAAAGACACGACAATAGCCAAGATAACGTGTTCCAGTTTTAGTGAAACTTTACAAACTGCAGAATGTGATCAGGAGCTGCATAAATTAGTCCTAGGTTCTTGTCATGAGCAGCGTGGGTTAGAGCATACTTGGACCAAACACAGAAAAGCCTACCGTGTCACCTTCTCCTGGGACGACGTATGGGGGGATATAGAGAGGTGAAAAAAAAGAGTAACTGACACTTTTATGCGTTTTGATTGGCGACTATGCTCGCATGTATTCCACCGTATGTAGTGCGATGTAGAATCTGTGAATGCTAAGAGACTCTGACTATGGGTTGATTGATCTCTGCCTAATGAGTATCTAGCTGAAGGTGGGCGTTTTGATCTGTTGTACGGGGCAAAGTTACAGGGTACGTCACACTACTAGCTACTAGTAGTAAGGTACGGAGTCCTCCCTCATACATACGCAGTACCGAGACCCAGGAATAGTTCCTTGTTGTATTAGTCTACCAGTACTACTAGTAGGTACTAATACAGAGTACGTAGTATATTAGTAACACTTATGCTAATGCCCCAGAGCCATCCATGCCCACGGTACTCTGTATGTATCTATTTAAAAAGTAAAGTACATGCATGCCAAGACTGGCAGAGTACAACTACTAGCAGCAAGTAGCACTAGTAATTGCTGAGTCCGAGGCTGGTAATCGAAACAATCACCTGAACAATAAATTGACAGTCTAGACTCACCCTTTGTCACATCTTTCCAGGTGAGTGTTACCACATATATTTTCTCATACATTGGGTTTAGTTTTGATTTCCAATAATCTTGACCTTCAACAGTTTCTAACTGCACGTGGTCTTTCTCTCTCCTTCGCTATCTCTTGTTTCTTTACCTTTTTCATTTTCTCTAGGATGTAAGGGAATCAAGACGATTTAATTATTTACAAGTCTACTACCAAATGCGCACAATGCTTTTGCTCAATAGAACGTTTTCCCCCTTCTTGACTTTTACTTCTTACTAACGCCCATAACAAATTGTGCAGTGTATAAGTAAACGCAAGGAATTTGATTAGTAGAGTTTTGCGGTGAGTATTTTGGGCGGAGAGATTACCGACTGATTCAAATCATTCCAACAGCAGCAACACAACAACATCCGCACAAGTGTGACGAACTCTGGATACGCTTATGGCTTCGTCACAGCTCAACCTTACTCCTAGGCTTGATGCCAATGCCAATGCTGCTGAAACCTCATCAGAAGACGAGGTTTCCCTGCATTCCCACAATGGGAATCCGCAGGCACGCGTCATTTCTCTAGATGACACTACAGCCGATGAGTCTAATTTTGCCGCGTCGACAAAAGCACCCGGTGATATTCTACCAAGGGATAGACTGCTGAAAACTCCTACCTACGACTATGCGTATGAAAAATCAATGAGCCACGCGGAAGCAAAACTTTTCTATCAGCACCATCAATTCGCCTCACGGAGTGCCGACAGTGAGCCTGTCCTGAACCTAGTACCTGCAAATTACAATGTAGCCGTCACACAGGCAGAGGGTGCGCCAAGCTATACACCAACCATGATGGAACACAATGGCTCCGAAGACCAAACAATCAGTACCATGTGCCAAACTGATACAATTTCAAAGATTCAACCCGCAGCAAATGCCACTTCGCTGTTTGATCAACGTGACTCGCACTTCATTCATGAGTACCAATCCAATGGTTCTGCTGCAAATGGCACTCATGGTATTTTGGGGTTGAATGCAATGCCATCCAGATCCCAGAACCAATTGAGTCAAACTGCATTGGGGGCAGGTAATGGCCATTTTGCTGGTGATGCCTTGGGGACCGCCCAAGGCATGTTGAATACTACTCCGGGCGATGATGCCGTTACATCAGAATTGAACGTAATTTGCCGCAAAATACTGAGATTACTTGATCGGCGATCCAAATACATCCAGCTATCATTGCAGGGCCCTGGAGATAACCCTAAGGATCATTCCGACTGGAAAGTATACCCTGCGCCGCCAGAACCAGCATGGGAAGGTGACAATGAAACTGGAAAATTTAACGATACCTCCCGACCCGAACAGAAGAGAAGGAAGATGGGACAGGATATCGGGGAAGACTTTGACATGGCCGAGTGCCTACCTCTTCCCGAGGCGTCAGATTGGGTTTTCAAGCTCGATGGGAATAGTGTGTATCAAGTGTACGAAACTTATGATACCGCCTGTCCTAACCAACCTGTTGTACAAATTCCTTCCCTGAGAGATTTCTACATGGATCTCGACGCGGTCATAGATGTATCAACGGACGGGCCCGCGAAGAGTTTCGCATTCAAACGCCTTTCTTACCTGGAGGGAAAGTTTCAACTTTATACTCTGCTAAATGAATATCAAGAAATAGCCGACAGCAAGAAAGTACCTCACAGAGATTTTTATAATGTTCGAAAAGTCGACACGCATGTGCATCATTCTGCTTGTATGAATCAGAAGCACCTCCTTCGTTTCATCAAAAGCAAGATGAAAAAGTCACCCGATGAAGTCGTGTTATTCAGGGATGGCAAACATTTGACATTGAAGGAGGTTTTTGAGAGTATCAATCTTACAGCTTACGATTTGAGTATCGATACACTCGACATGCACGTATGTAGGAATCAACCCGGTTTCTTGTTCCTGGTTTGCAACTAACAGTGTTACAGGCGCACACAGATTCTTTCCACCGATTTGACAAGTTTAACCTCAAATATAACCCTGTCGGCGAATCTCGACTGCGAGAAATATTCCTGAAGACAGACAATTATATCAAAGGGCGTTATCTAGCAGAAATAACAAAGGAGGTCATCTCTGACTTGGAGTCCAGCAAATACCAAATGGTAGAATGGCGTATTTCAATCTACGGCAGGTCTATCCAGGAATGGGATAAGCTTGCGGCATGGGTAGTTGACAATAAGTTGTTCTCCCCTAATGTTCGCTGGCTTGTCCAAATACCTCGACTTTATGACGTATACAAGTCGAGCGGCATGATGGAAAACTTTGAGCAGGTTATCACCAACGTCTTCCAGCCACTATTTGAAGTGACAAAGGATCCTAATAGTCATCCAAAACTCCATTTATTCTTACAGCGTGTGGTCGGTTTTGACAGTGTTGACGACGAGAGCAAAGCAGAGCGACGTCTGTATCGAAAATATCCCATCCCAAGAGAATGGAATACGAAACAAAATCCACCCTACAGCTATTGGATATACTTCATGTTTGCAAACATCGCATCCCTGAATATCTGGCGCAAACGGCGAGGGTTCAACACGTTCGTTCTAAGGCCTCATTGTGGCGAAGCCGGTGACCCTGATCATCTTGCGGTTGGGTTCCTCTGCTGCCACAGCATCAGCCATGGGATCCTACTCCGGAAAGTCCCTTTACTGCAGTATCTATTCTACCTTGATCAAATTGGGATTGCCATGTCGCCTCTCAGCAACAATGCGCTGTTTCTGACGTATGACAAAAATCCATTTGCTAGTTTTTTCAGGCGAGGCTTGAACGTGTCGTTATCTACCGACGATCCATTACAATTTGCGTTCACCAAAGAGCCCTTGATTGAAGAATACTCGGTTGCTGCACAAATTTATAAATTTAGCGCGGTTGACATGTGTGAGCTGGCGAAACACTCAGTCTTACAAAGTGGTTTCGAGCTCGCCCTAAAGCAAAGATGGCTTGGCACGAACTGTTCAGCAGCAGGAGTCTCGGGCAATAATGTTGCAAAGAGCAATGTTCCAGACATTCGAGAGGGATTTAGGCATGAAACCCTGTTAGGAGAGCTGGCACTGTAAGGATCCCTAGCGCAGTTGTATGAGGACATCTTGAGTAATGAATAACCTACAGGATTGGAAGATATATTGACAGTCTGAGTACTCACTCAAAAGTACTACCCCTCAGAGGCCAGTTGCAACCTAGCCTGACCACGGAAAATGAGAACCATCCAAGCCATTGTAAGTCCCATTACACACCGTCAACCAGTGGTCTATTTCACTCACCAGCGATGATAGCTTCGCGGACGGAGGTTCAGGCTACAGCATCTCTGCAGACTTCCAATACGGTGAATACTCCCAAATATTTACAAAATCAGTCTGAGACCAACATCGCCGGAGAGGCTTGCCTCCCAAGCCCCAATGCCCACCTCCCGGGTCCTAAATCTGGCGAGGATACTGGACCCGAATCATTACCAGAACAAAAGATATTCCCTGGTATTGTGCATGAAAGGGCTCAGCGGGGTAGTATGCTGACTCGAGCATTGGCCGAAGATGACAAGAATACGAAAGACGGGGGTAAGGATGTCAACAATTGCCCTAGTCTATCATGAGGTTAATACAGGGCGGTGCCATGCATAGTGCTCTATTTTACCTAGGCCACGGTCCTATAGTTTATGCTGTGTTTCATGACAGGCAATAGTTGCCGCAGCCAAGAATCACTGGCCGTTTGTTCGCCATTTGTGGCAATTCAGGAGATCCGAGATTAGTGTTAACTTTTCTTTTTTTCCGTGGGCACGTTGTAGTTTGAAGTTCTTGTGTTCTACAGTCAAATTTTGGGCTCTCCGTAGGCTTAGATGAATATTGGAGGCAATAGAGGAGACAATATAAGTGCAAGGATACCATTCCCAAAAGGCCAATTTGTTGATTGAACCCCTTCCCACCCTAGTGTATGCCTTTCCAACAACCGTCTCACCCCGCCCAACTACCTCTTCTCTCGCGTACACCCCAGGTACCATGACTGCTGTTGTCTTCAACCGTAATAGGTTGCTGCCTAGCCCATTCACGTATGTACGAGCGAAGAGCTAGCCAACGCATGCAAACATCGCTAACGGAAGTTTCTGTCCCAGCGTTTTCGACGACGCTAACGTAACCCTTGGCATCTGTGTTCATATCATCGCGCCTGAGTTCTAGTACGGGAATACCGGATACTCTGCTCAGCTCATGGTCATAATAACGAGCAACACAAGGATAACCTAGGGACAAGTAGTTATAAATCTGAGTGACGAACCCATCCTGAATTTGGGGTTCCGTATCACCATCAGAGCTGCCCCGCTCCTTCTCATCTGGTAGTTCTAGCTTCTTTCGGGGTTTGGGATGAGCTTTGTCTTCAAATGTTAACATTCCGTTCGGCCGCGCCCAGCCCTTTCCTTGCACATGAGAAACAGAAGTTAAAGTACTGCAGGAAAGAGAGTCTTGGGGGGTTAGGCAATGCTTGTCACGTTTGCATGTTCCCATCCATAGACCTTCGCTACCACAGTGATCATTGTAGTGAGGAGCCGCATGCCAAAGGCTGGGAAAGTTGTGAAAGCCGTCATTGCACTCAGCCAAATGACTGTTCTCACAGAAAGTTGTCTCGGGTGACAAGCTTTGGGGGAAGATAAGGTCATCACCTAACATCGGCGGGCTCTTGACTTGTTTTTGTTGGCCTAAGTTGCGGTCTCTTTCCCGACTTTTATCAGGATTTATATGGTTCTCTGGTTTACCGCAGGCCATTATTTTTAAAGGAGCAACAGGCGAAAGATGCAAACCCTGTGTGCCAGCCATGGCACGGTCTCGCATTTCTGCCTCCTCTTTATGCTGCCGCATATACTCAAGCTCCCACGACAAATCCGCAGATGATGCACGTCGGTACCTTGTTAGAACATCATCTGCTTCAGGTATCGCTGGCTCTCCTTGGCTGGAACAATCCTCTTCTCTATCAATGGCGAAGTGATCCACCGGCTGATAGACCTGTTCATTAGGGAAAGCTGCTAGGGCTTGCTCTTTTAACTGCTTTTCCGCCGAGCGGGCAGCTAGAGACAGTAAATAGCTTGAGAAAAGCTCGTCGCAACTTTCCCTGCGATCTTCTTCCACTCTCGGCCGTATCACTGATTGTCGGGAGGAGGCAGATGGCGACACGGGCAGTGATGAATCCGACACTTCAGATGCTTCACTACCACTAGAAGGGATCACGGGGAGATCAGGAACTCTAAAAGAATGCCGTCTTGTCTCCTGGCGCTGCCGAAGCCTGGCGTATGAGAATCGAGACTCATGCGCCAAGTGACCTTCAGCATGTACTATTGTATCCCCGATAGTGCTTCTATGTCTTGAATTCTCAGTTTCAAGCCCCAATCGGTACGTATCGTGAGGTGCATATGGGCTCGAGTCGCGGCGAAATGAGCGGCTGGCCGTTTCCATTAGCTGAGGCACGAATTTTCTCGGACGCAATTGTGGATTGTCTGTGTTAGAGAACGGCTCATTCTGTTTACCACTTAGACAGCTCTGTCGCAGCAATCCTAGCGATTCTGTTGCACGTTTGTCCCCAGTATGCCTCCTCTCTAGATAACTATTAGACGGTAGGCGAGCAGGCGGATTGCCACGGACATCTGATGCAGTGCTGCCCGGTAGATTTATGTGTATCAGAGGTTTGCCGGGTGCCGCAGGATGGGTTGAGTGAGACTCTGTGTCTTCTTTGCCTCCCTCTGCAGTGTTAAGGTCCTCTCGGTCGTGTAGGAACTCCCTCCCCACGCATGATACTGGCTGATGTGTCTTGGATTTGCGTGTAGTGGTTTCAATGGGTTCAGGTAAGAATCTCCTAACTCGCCTGGATGGCTCGGTATTGTGATATGACATGGTGCCAGTTAAACTGTCCCCTCGTCACTTCCCCCTTCTTCCAGGTAGGTATATTATTTATTCTAGGCATTTCCTCGAATAAATATGGTGGCACATGGATTCTTCGTTTATTGTACCTACCTTTCGCCTATTTATTCCTTGGTTTAAACCCGACCTATTGCCACCATCTCAGAATATAATAGTAGTTAGATGAATAACTAGTAATAAATTCACCAAGAGCGGGTTTATAATACTTGTAAGATCGCGGGTGTGCATTTATCTTGGATTAGGAAAAGAAGGCCTAGAATAATGATACTAGATGAGATACCCAAAGAGAAATTGTTAAATGTTACTACTGTGAGCAGGTTAGGATGGGCGAGTATCTATCATGTGGTTATCAGGTTATCTATCTACTCCGTGGTGACAACTCACATCCCATGTGAAACGGGCGGGGCTAATGGCCATGCTACGTCCTAGATTGCCCGACTACTGCGGACATTGCTTAGAACTGCAAGACAGACAACAACCCCTCCGTATTGAGAATCACATACATCTGGAGATTCGAATCTGTCAGGATACAATAATGCAGTTTTTCAAAGAGTGGCTCTTGATAGCTTCAAGAATTACTAGGTACGCTGACCACGCTGGCCATTGAGACGGATATTTCTATGGCAATACCGCTCAAAGAGACATTTTCATCGTCCAGGTTGAGATACTCCTCCGCTACAATATCTCCCCAGAATTCGTCCGGTACCACCGTTCCCTTTGCAGGTCGAATCCGCCGAGGTATATACTTCGAAGGCGAAGTCGATTGATGCATTAGGATTGTCCGAATAGTACTTCAATCCCCTCATTTGGCATCTTAGCTTTCGGCATAAAAGTGGCAACAGCTTCAATAACGACAGAGCAATTTCTAAGAGCCATAGAAACGCTAACCTGTACAATCAAACAATCGTTAAAACGGTATGAATCGTGAATCGATCCCTTCAGATAGATTTGGAAAGAAGCGGGGAGCAGGTCTTCCACAATAATGATCCGATGGGCTTCCCGTATTAAATATCATACCAATACCAGGTTGCAGACAGGGGCAGCATCGCTACGGTCTATACCTTGCTTTGCAAGGTATGCTTGAACGGTAAGGAGAAACCACTCTTCTAATTTCGGCCCCTGGGAGGCGTAGGGTAGTCTAAATTCCGTTTTGGCAACTTCAGCCATTTTCCGCAAACGCTTGCAAATTTCTATATATCCTCTTAAAAATTTAAGTATAAAATTCAATATTATAGTATTGTTATTTATAGATTAAAAATAAAAAATCTTCTAATGAATTAATTATATTATATATCTACTGTACAACTAAGGATAGATAACTATAGGCCTACTTAGAGATTATCTAATCTATAATAAGTATTTAGACTATATAGATATTTAGATTGAAAGAATTAGATTTAATTATCTATTGACTAGTTAATGTAATCGGTAAATGAGCGGGCCACGCAATCGAGTGGGCCAACGCGCCGGTTTTCTACGTGTTTATTTTTTTGAAGCTATTCAACCACTAGCCATATTACCAAAAATGCCTAAATTATCAAGATATTAGGTAGAACCGTAGAACAGGAAGACAGAGTCTTATTAGTTATTAAGAATAATGAATTTACCAATATTTATAAGGCAGCTTGTGTTTTTAATATCTATTAGAGTATATATTTCGATCAGATATATGTATAAATAGTTATGAATTAATTACTGTCAGCTGCCCTAATCCTAAAACGGAATAGTCTTAGGGCTGGCTTAAGAGGATATAAAAATAGAATAATAGTATAGATTGAATGACTAGATAGGGTAGAATTGACTTGAAGAGATCAAAAGAATGAATAGGAAATCTGTTGGGCCTAATAGCACCGAGAGTATTGTAGAGGAAGTTGTTTTGTTCATTCATCTATCTAAGCAGCCGATAAGCGGCCGCCATACCGCCTTTTCTACCGTTTTCGGCAGAATATATGAAAGTCACAACAATTCTCTAAATTTCTTAAGACTGTGTCTCTATAGCTTAATTGTAATTTAGTGGGCAATAAAACATATTTCGAATAAAGAATAAATATATAAAAAAGAACATAAAGAGAAAACCTATTAGAAAACAATTTAGATAATTGAATAGTATATAATAAGTAATAAAAGTATACAGATAAGTACAGTATAGAAAAGGAGTTGGTAAACTAGTAAGTATTGTAAAGCGAAGACAGATTTAATTAAAAAATTTTTTGCTTAGTAAGATATTTCTCTAGAGAGTTAATTCTCTGCTATTTAGTAAGTATTTTAGTATCGGCTATTTCTAAATATTGTTTAAGTTTAGTGATCTCTATATCCTAGTTTTTAAGTTGTTTAGTGTTTATTTTCTTCAGTTACTTCCTAAGTATAATAGTTTCCTTATTCTATTTATCTCTGAGACTATTAAATACTTCTTTAATTTTTTTTTATAATTTTTTGTAAAGCTCTTTAAGCTTTTTTATAAATAAAGGTATATATAACTACTTTTCTATATTGAGCTAATCGGGCGGAGTGGTAGCCTGCTGATAATCAGTAGATAGATTAGCTGACAGTATAGTATTAGTTAAGTCGATAATCTCGACTACTTTCTCAGTATTTAAAGATTGGTTAATATTTTCTTAAATAGCTAGTTATCGATTTTTTATATACTGTAAGTCTTTTCTATAGTATATATCAGTCTCTGTAACACTAATAACTTCCGGTATAAACAGAATATATATTAGAAACTGTGTGAAATTAAGAAATAGTAGTTCTCTGTATAATAAAGATAATTTAGTATATTTTATTACTTTTTTTTTTTTAGCTTGTATAACTTTTACTTAAAATCTGCTTAATAATCCCGATCTAGAATAGATATTGATAAACTAGAATATAGTTTTTGTATTTTTTTTATTTATTAGAGTATAATAACTCTTGTAAACTAGAGTCTAAGTCTATTTATTAACTACTGCTATTATCGGTAGATCGATTAGTATTTTTATCTTATAGATATTTCTGTTTAGCTTAAAGTCTATTTATTATCTAATTACTCTTTTCTTTGTACTGTAGTAAAGAACTGCCAATATAATTTAAATATCTAATAGTCTTGTGTTTCTTGGCAGCTAACTGTATATTTTGGGGTTATAGATATTTAGGATTATTTTCTATTTAGTAATAGTTTTTTAATTTATTTAGCTATAACTAAGTATTTTTAGATCTTTTTCTTTACTGTTGTCTTGTTTCTAAACTTTGTATAGTCTACTATTCTGTTAGACTACTATACAGTTCTAAGTCCTGTTTTTAAGTATTTTGATTTATTCGGGGGTACCAGAAATTAAAAGATAAGTAGAGACTATTTATAAAAAAAAAAGTAATTATTGTATTAAAGAATTTGATATCTTTTGAGTACTTTAATAAGCGAAAGAAGTAAAGTAGTCAATAATTAATAAAAAAAAAAAGAAGAGAAAGGAGTTATAAGAAGTTAAGAAAGTAAATATAGATTAAGACAGTTAATTAATAAAGAGTAAAAAATAATAATATAAAGTTTACTTTATTTCTATTTATTTACTCTATTCTTGTATTCTTGAATTGTTTTCTCTATTTCTTTCAGATTTTTTAATAGTTTCTAAGTATTGTATTCTAGAGACTATCTAGTCTAGTAAACTAAGTACTGTAGTTTCTTTTCTTGAGTAATCTGTTTATTAAGAATATATTCTATTTTATATTAATTTATATTGTCTGGAAACTGTTCTTTTATAATTAGTAGAGATTTTAAGAGTATTCTTTTAAATAGGTCTTTTAAATTAGTCTTCTCTAAATAAATTACTGAGACAACAGAGTATATTTTCTATATATTAAATAGCTCGAGCTTATAGATAAGTTTTTCTACTTGTCAAAGTACTTTAAATAGCTCGGTTAATTAATAATTAAATTTTTTACTAATTCTTTTATTTGCCGGTAGATTATAACTCTTATATAGTTATAATAGTATCTTATCCCCGACTTTAAAGTTGATAGGTAAATAATTTTAGTTAAAATACTGTTTTATTTAGGTTATTACTTAGGTAAGCTTTTATTCAGTGTCTAAATAAGATATAAAGTCCTGTTTAAATACCCGATAAAGTATTGTCTATAGAGTACACAGTCTAATACTATATATAAGCTTATAGAGAGAATAACCAGTTACTAACTTTATTAATAAATTTAAAAAGGTCTATATAGCTCTTAATATCTTCTTTTACTTTTCAGTAATAAGAGGTTCCTTAATAAAGTAATATTAGAATATTATTTTAATAGTTTAAATAGTTCTTTTGAACTATCTATCAGACTGTAGATACTAAGCAGTTATATAATTCTATACAGTATTAAGCTATTTAAATATATCTTTCTAAAATATATTTATAAACTGTATATCTCGATTGGAAATAAAGTTCTGAGAAATTCCCCAGTCAGAGTATTAGAATATTTCTACTAATTTTTAATTCTACTGCTCTGTGTTCTATCTCGATAAGTCTGGTATAAATCCTACTTATTTTATAAATTTGTTAACTACTACTAATAGCTAGTTATATTTTTGGAGTAAGATAGATAACTGTATAATAAAATCTATAGTAATAGTATAATATAGTTTAGAGACAGTTATAATTGAATTAAGATATCTATATAGCTTATATTGTGACGGTTTATTTGTTTAATATATAGGGCAGTAGTTAATATATTGTTTAAGCAGTTTTAATATTTTATAGATAGTAATTCCTTCCAGTTTTTTTATATAGGTCTTAAAATTTTGGTATCCTTGGTTATTGTATATCTGTCGAAATATATTCTTTATTATCGGGTACAGAATATATAACCAGTAGTTATTATTATACTTGACTAGATAGACAAGATTATTAATTAGAGAGTAAGATATTTCTTTTAGATCTAGAGATAACTTGCGCTATTATAATATCTTTAAAATAACTTTTACTTATGGATTATTTTGGTAAACAAGCTTTAACTTGGCCTTGAAATTATTAGAAAGTGTCAGCTTCCCTAATCCTAAAGCGGAATAGTCTTAGGGATCAGCTTCAGAGGATATAAAAATAGAATGATAATATAGATTGAATAACTAGATAAGATAGACTTGAAGAGATCAAATGAATGAATAGGAAATCTGACTATCTGATAATCAGATAGTTGGTTGATGATCTGCTTGAATCAAAAAGATCATTTAGTAGATGCTTTTAGGCCTTATTTATAGACAATTTTTAGGCCTTGCTTTTGGTGAATGATTTCAAATCAATATAGAATTAGTGAATTTGTTATTATGACTAATTCTGACTAATTCTTGATTTCTAATGATTTCTAATGATTTATAATAAATTATTAGAAATCATTCAAAGTCATGAATCATAGATTCCTTCTAGACCTTGATTGAAAATAAGGTTTCAATCTAGTCTAAAATAGGTAATACTATAGAAGCTTTCTAGAATATTTCCTAAATAGGAAATTTCACTCCGACAGTAATATATCTTCCGAGATATCTACTTGGCAGGTCTCAGTATACTTGTTATCTAATATAAGCCCTAATCAAGTATCTTTGTCAACTATTAATAGATACAGTAAATAATTATATACTTTAACAAAAGCAGTTTCTATATTTATTAACAATACAGGTATTGCAAAAAAAGTAATACTTAATAGTTAGAATAGAATAATTATAATTAGTTAATAAAGAATATTTAGTATAAATTAAAATTAATAATTATATATAGTTTGACAAGATAATATATAAATTGATATATATAGAGATATATTTGATACTCGATTTTGTTTAGTATAGATATTAATAGATATTATTATTTAGTTTTATCTATTTAGATATACTTATTAACTGTTAAAGTCTAGAATTATTTATTTAGTACCGATTATATCTATCCCGATAAAAAGTTTAATTTTTAGATTATCGACTAGATATACTTCCGCCTATATCTATAGTATAATATATTTATTATCTATTTTTGTAGGGAAAAATAGTTCTAATTGTACAAATTTTATTGATTGATATTTAGACCCGATATCAGAAACAATAACTGATAGATAGAACTTAGTAAATAGTCCCAGATCTTTTACCAGATTAGAGTCTATTAAGATTATTGAGCAGTCTATATTAAGATAAATAGTAGTTTGATTATTAAGATTTCTAATTTCTAATAAAATAGTTGTATATC